AGCCCTAGAGTACAGCACATGCACATTCCATCTGCGCAGCGTCATACCTGCCGCCCAGCCAGCCAGCCAGCCAGCGCAACATACGACACCCACACCCACACCCACACCCACACCCACGCATGTGCAGCGCAATCCCACTGCCGAATCCATCAGCCAGCCCGGGTTAGCGCCTGTCACGTGACCCCACCCACGGCCGAATCAGCTGGCGGAGCGGGCAGACTGGGCGGCGGGGCGGCGGCGCAGACGGCTGACGTAAGGGACGGGGCCGGCAGAAGCAAAAAAGGGGGTTTACGTGGTCGGTTGACTGTTGGGAGAAGAGGGCGGCCAGGGAAGGCAAGGTGGGGTGTTTTGTTTGAGGGGGAGGGGGTGTGGTTGGTTGGGTCGTGTACTACAAGTAGAAGAGTAGTGTGTAGGGGTAGGGCGGTGCATTGGGTGGGCTGTGGAGTTTGTGGGGATGGTAGGCCCGGGGGAGATGGGAGGGTGGGTGGGTGAGTTTTATATGCGTTTAGCTGAGGATGCAAGGAATGGTGAATACAGTACACGACAAAAGGCAGGAATAATGCTTCATCTTTGTCCTATTCCCATGCTTCCAACGAATCAATCCAGCCACAACAAGGCCCGTTCCCCTCTTCCCTTACAAAACACCAAAGCCCCTCGAGTGCGTAATCGCCAACCCCAACTTCTGCCTCAAAACCTCCACATCTGCATAATCCGGCAAATACAGCCTGCCAAAACACGTCGAGCTACTCGGCAGAGCGTGCGGCTGCCCGCCCACCTTGCTAATCTTGAACATCACATTCTCATACCCCGTCACGGGGATGCGATTCGATGCCGTGACGAATTCGAGCAGGCGCCGCGCATCCTCCTGATCGTACGACTCGGCCACCTTCCAGAAGGCGCGGACGGTGGCGCTAGTAGGCGTGTAGCCCTCGTCGTAATCTACGACGCGCCGCAGAGCCGTCATGGAGATGTCATGGGAGCCTTCGACAAGCTTGCGCAGAAAGGCTGGGCTAAAGTATCGGAGGCTTTTGGGTTGCAGACAGGTCAGGAACCCCTTTTTGAAGGCGACGAGTTGGGTCTCGACCGAAGCGTACGTGAGGAAGTAGATGTACTTGCCCACAAACTCTTCTCGGTTGGCATTGGTGACGACTTCGGGCTCCGAGTCGGCTTCCAGTGGATCGTGGCCAAACGGGTAGGCCATGTTGTGGTCGATCCTGTGGCCAAATACCTCGTAGCTGAAGACGGCGTCGCGCATGATGACCTCGCCCACGTCCCCATCGCTCCACGAGAGTAGCTCGCCAAAAGATTTGGCTAGATCGGGCCAGCCATCCTTGATAAAATCTACAGTTGAGATTTTGACAAGGTCTTCCTTGGATGAGTCGACCGGACTTAGCATCATGTGATAGAAGGCAAGAGGAAAGGTCACAGGCAGCGTCACACCGTTGTACACGGCAATACTAAATAGCAAGCCAATCATCTCAAACTTCCATGGTGCTTCCAATGAGCCTGGCTGGAACCAGGTCATACGAGTCTGCGGGTCGATGGTGAACATCCCTAGATATGTCAGTTTCCTGAAGAAAAAAAAAGGGCAAAAAGAGACATAGCTTACCGTTTTCCGGCCTGAAAGCTTCACCGAGCACTAGGCTAAAGTACTCGTTGGTCACTCCACCCAGATCCGTACCATAGTCGCCCGTGTCCTCTGTCCCAATCTTCACCTTAAGCGGCTTCAACAACATTCGTTTCTCTTGTCCCCAGAGCATGTCTAACGTATCTTCAAGCGCGTTTTCGCGGCTCACCGTCAGGAACAGTTGTTCACAAAATGTCGTCTGCATCTGAGAGGAGAGCAACTCAGCCATTGACCCTCGGAGAAAGATCTCAAGCGATCTCTGCACACTTTGAGTGCGCACGGTATGATTGTACTGCGAAAACATGGTCGTGAAATTGATGGTGCGGAAGTAAGTGACTACTTGGTGTGTCGAGAAAAAGCATGGATACTGGTAGACGTGCAGATGGTTCAGTGTGGGCTCCCAATCAAGGAACCTCAATGGCTCATCGAAAGAATCGATCCGTTCGCTGAGAAAGGGCATCTCGAACATAGAGAAGCGCAGGTTGAGTGCGTCGCAATGCACATCTATCATTGTTAGCTGTTTGCATACCACCCAAGATGGAGTTACTTGCAGAATTTCTCATGAAGCTGTACTGCTACACCCACACTGCCCCATTTGGGGATCTGAGGCTTGCTGTCCCACTTCTTGAGTAGAACGGTTCGTGACCACTCCAGAAACGTGGCAGTCACTGTCCATCCTGGGTCTTCGCGTCTAGCATGGCTTGGGTTCAGTCTTCGTTTGTTTTCGATTGCAACGCGCTCTGTGACAATCAGGTGCTGCACAATAATCTCAACAAGACCATCCTCGAGTAACGTTGGTCCTGGATATTCACTGGTGACGTCTCTCCGACGCCGATCCTTTAGAATATGTTCAAAGCACATTCGAGCCCCAATAGCACGAAGTAAACGGTCCGCGAGGCGGAGTGCAGGCTCGTATTCCAATCCATCGATGATGTCCATAAACGGATGTGCGAAAGTGTCCAAATTGGGAGCTGCAGTTGGAACAATGATGCCCCATGATCGTAGTTTACGGACCTGGAGCCATACATGTGGCCAGCCAACTGGGACCAGAGAAGTGAGTGCATGGATACATATGACGACTATGTGAGCAGCTTCGTGCACAGTCAGGTATCGAGGCACTGGTTTTGTTTTGGCACCATCATTCGTCAAAGGTTCTGTCGGGGCGCCTGGAGACCTGCTTACACCCAACGGCTGTTTGGGAGGGCTTTCCAGGTCAACAAGTTCCGGCGGGGGTGTAAAGAGGGCTTCTACTGCCATCCACAAACTATCGAATATGAGCGCGCCATTGTGTCTACTCCAATCGCGAAAGGATTGTGTCAGGCGTGCTGAGTCGAGATGAGGGAGCGGCGAGTCTCCAAATTCTCTATTTGCGACACGAAATGACTTGAGCAGTGTTTCGGGATCGCTCAAGGTGTAAAACAGCGAACGGTTGACAAGAGGTGTTGTGGGTCGGTAGTGACGGTTGTTATCATAGTCCACGGCATAGTTAAACTCGGCTGTCTGATATTTGCGGTGGCGATGAACGTGCTCCTTGAAGTTATCGATAATGTCGCAATTGAGTATCGGAAAGACTGGCAGCGTAGGAGCTGAGCGGTCGACAACCCTACGAGGCTCACTTGAACACAGGACTTTGACCGGAGGCTTTGACCGCCCCATGTCTGACTCAATGCCACCACCTAATGTGAAGCTCTTCTTGCCTGTCTTCTTAATGGAGAGCTTTGTCGATGTTGAGTAGCGACGAGTTCCAGCAGAGTTGGGAGATGTCGTTGCTTTGCTTTCAGCCGCAGTGACAGGCTGATAGGGAATCCTATGGATCTGGTGACCGTCACTACCTGGAACGTGTTGACTCGTTTGCTCTGAATATGATTTGTCGCTGCATTGAGCAGACTGTTGTTGCAAACGTTCCCGAACGATGCGTGGGGGTTCACGTGTTTGAGTCATGACAGTGGGAGCGCTTGTTGATGAGTCAATTTCATGATCTGCTTTTGTTGTGTCTGATGATGCTACTGATTGCAAGCCATGAGCTGCACTCTCATTGTGTGTTGCGCCATTTCTTGAGGATGTATCAGTCGATGCGCGGAGCAAGGTCAGAACAGAACTGGGATTCGCAATTTGCTGGGTATAAGCAGCCATCATGCTGAGACTGTTATATAGGTTCTGGCCAAGGGACTTTACGTCTTTCCGTAACTGGCGCTGACTGTTGATGACATCCAGTGTAGTCTGCGGAGTATGTGCATCGTGTGTGCTCATCGAAGACGGCATTATCAAACCTCGTGGACCAAGGGCGCGTCTGTACTGACGAGCCAGTTTCCATGTTGTGGGATACACGATGAACTGGCGATTTCCATTGGCGTTACCCTGATATATACCAATTTTAACGTTGTCTTGGTTCGTCTCCCAGTCTGTGTCTGGGTTCTTGAGTGGCGGTCGGTGGGGACAGAGTGCCTGATAGGGATCATCTTGGCTGGCAAGGTAATTGGCTAATGCATGGGCAGTGAGTTGGGAAGGAGGGCGATAGGGTCGTGTGGCATTTCGGGCATTGCGCGAGAAACAGGTGACGGTTTCACAGTTTGGGTTCTTGCAGCCGACTAAGATCTGCCCTGTGTATCTGCAACAAGTGTCATTATACCATGTCAACTGCCGTGAGACTGTTGACCATACTGCCTGACGAGCTGCTGATAGTGAAACCGGCGCTGTAGCTGTGAGCATTCAAGGACCCGGTGGACCTCTTGCACGTCTATCACCGTGTTTGGGCGAGGTTGCAAGGCACGTGACGAGAGCGGTGCATAACTCGCGCCAGGCACGGTGCGTGGGTGTGCACGAGCACGTTGGCGCCCTTCATCCGGCGCGCTCATATCATCAAATGAAGGCAGAGACACAAAAGCAGGAGAGGCTGTAGGGAGCAATCATGACTCGGTGACGGTGCAACCGCTGCTGGGCGTGGATACGTCCTGTACCGGTACTCTTCACGGGGCGATGATATGAGTAGAGCAGAGAACGTACAGGGTGAATTGTGAATTGTGGAAAAGAAAAACGATAGAGTGCCGAGGTAATACTAGGTACTGTGTATGCTAACTTGTACTCTAGCTTGTAAGTCGCAGGTGTGTACGGACGATGAAATGAACCAAGAACATGTGACTAGGTAGAGAGACGACCGCAAACACCAGCGTACTCCTACTGCTAAGGTCCGTAGGGCTGTCAGGGCTGGGGAGGACGGCTGCCGGGCGGGCAAAGGTGGCGGTGGCTCAGTCCGGGCGCAGGGATGGCAGGTGCCACCGTGCTTGGCAGCTGATGTCATGTTCGCTGTGTTGGTGCGTGCACCCGCGCACTTGCTTGCCATTCACTCACCCATTTCCCTTGGTCGCACTTTCCGTTGGCTTACATCATCATCATTTCTAGAGAGTAATCGTAGAGTACCAGTACATGGCCTGCAGCCACTCTAGAGTACCATCTCATCATCTGGCGCTGGGCAATCAACTGCAGGATTGCTGTGTACAGATTGTATCACAGAGTTCATTTCTGTGGCCGCCTTGGTAATCACGCTTCACTCAGCAGCGCACGTTCAAATTTGCCCCTCGGCCAGTCACAACGAGGCGGTATCGATAGCCCACAACCACCCCCCCCCACCTTTCGCCGAATTATTTCTAGCCATCACCGAGCACCACGCCCAACCTGATATCCTACCCCAATCTCCCCTGTAACAACTCTATACACACGGCAAAAATGGCGTCGCAGGTGCCTACGCAGGCAAACATTCAATCTACCCACCCCTTCACCTGCAACACATGTCAGGTCGCCTTTCGCTCCAGCGATCTGCAGCGCGCTCACATGCAGACCGACTGGCATCGCTACAACCTCAAGCGCCGTGTGGCCTCCCTCCCGCCCCTCTCGTCTGAAATCTTCACCGAAAAAGTGCTCGCAAACAAGGCGACCGCCGCTGCCACCGCCGCCAAAGCCTCGTTCGAGAAATCGTGTTCAGCCTGCCAAAAAACCTACTTTAGCGAGAATGCCTACGCCAACCACGTCAACAGCCAGAAGCACAGGGCGAATGTGGCAAAGTCAGGCAGGGGTGCTCATCTGGATGACACTGCCTCGGTGACAGGCTCCATGGTCAGCTCGGCCTTCTCGCTGGGTGAGTCCATGGCCGAGTCAGAGGTCACGGTCAATGGTGATGGGGAGAAAGACTTGTCAGAGGTTGTGGACGGCATGAAGAAGGCATCCATCAACACCAACGAGTCTACAGCAGAAGACGACAAGAGCTCTGTCGCAGCCTCGACCAAGGCGCCCTCAGATCCGCTGCTGGACTGCTTATTCTGCAACTACAAGTCGCCGAATTTTAATCTGAACCTTACACACATGGGCCGCTTTCACGGAATGTTTGTACCAGAAAAAGACTATCTTGTTGAGCCAGAAAACCTCATCAGATATTTACACGACAAGGTTCACGTTGGCCACCAATGTCTCAAGTGCCACAAGATGCTTCACACTGCATCTGGCATTCAAACACACATGCGTGATCGAGGTCACTGTATGATTGCATTTGAATCTGACGAGGAGCTTGTCGAAGTTGGCGAATTTTACGACTTCCGGAGTTCGTACCCTGACGCTGCCGACTTTGACGAGATGGCGGAGGAGTCAGACGACTCCACTTCAACTACCGGAGGCGGTGTCAAGCTCGGTGCGAAACGGGAAACCAAGACTACGACAGATGACGCAGCCATGTCAAGCAACAACGAAGAAGATGAGGGTTGGGAAACCGACAGCACCGTATCCAGCGTTCCTACAGACGAGATCACAGCTGTACCCATTGATCGCAGACACCGTCACAAGTCGCTCAACAAGTCAAAGCATCATTCTCATTCAGATCCTCGCCCACATCGTGCCGCGGATGGGTTCCACTCGCATGCTCACAATACCCCCCATGCAGTCTACCACGATGAGTATGAGCTGCATCTACCATCCGGACGGACTGCTGGTCACCGATCGCTTAATAAATACTACCGCCAGAACCTGCGCAACTACCCTGGTGTGGCTGAGCGCATGGAGAATGCCCAGCGCCGTTTGACTGCCGGATCAACTGAGGGAGATGGAGATAGCGATGTCGAGATGGACGGTGGAGATGATGAGGCGCGGGAAGGTCGTGGGCGTCAACAACAGCTCGTCACCCGCGCCAACGGCGGTCTGGGCATGGTTGGCGTTAGTGATGCTAAGAAGGCTGAGGTGCAAAAAGCTGCCAAGCGAGAACAGAAGAAGGCAGACCGTGCCCGCAACAGGTACGAAGCTGGTAACGAGAAGCGCAACAACCACCAAAAGCACTTCCGTGATCCTCTTCTGCAGTAGATGTGTCATTGTGGGTGGGAGGGGATTTGGGCTTTTGTGCATTTGTATGACCCATTTGCGGAGTTCGGGTTACCGGTACGAGTGGAATGCTTTCTTCTGTCTGCGTTTGCGACTTCATGAGCATGGGCGGCGTTTGCGATGGCATATAGACAAGTCGACGACGGTCGCTTCATAGGTACACCTAGAAGAACTATACACCTTCGAAATAGCTACTCGCATTCATGTTGAAGCCAATAATTCTACAAGTACTGGCTTCGTAGAACCTGATGCCAGGTACCATACTCTAATCCACGCCGGCACTGCTCTATCGTGGAGATGCACGACTACAAGGCAAGGAAGCCCCCACCGTATCCCTCATCAACATCATTTCCTATCCGATCCCCACTCCATTCGACACGGCCATTCACAACTACCCACTCTTCATTACACAACAGTCAAACCCATGTAACAAGGTCCTCCACACAAATGCACCGTCAGTGAGACGTCTCACAACCGGGATGTCACTACAACCCCAGGCTCGTGTGTCCCGTACTCCCCGAGTTTCCTTGTCTCGCCTGAGCCGAGACCAAAGACGCGTGCGGTCCGATGCCGCAAGAAAATTTGTAGGGCCATCCCGGTTGGTGGGTGAGTCCCGATTCATGGATTGTTGATTCGACGGACGGGAGGGAGTCTGCAGTGAGGGACGACGCCACACGTGTAGGGCTGACTTATCGATAGAGCGACGCGCTAGCATGCCGCATTAGCGGAAATCGACATGTTGTTCGTCATGACGTTGCTGGTTTCGTTTTGAATTGTTACAATATCTGTACGGTCTAATCCATCGTCGGACTTTTATTTCGAATAAGAAAGAACTGCCTGTATGCCCGTACTTGCCGTACCGCGACCTTATATCTGCGCCCGCTGTTTGCGCGCGAAGCGACCGTCAATCCCTCGAGCCTCGATTGCCACTGACCATGTGAGGCAATACGCAAATGCAACTCCCCAGCGCAGTAACAATGATGAGACACAGGAGGATGATAGTCGGGTGGAAATTTCAGGTCCGCAGGAAGTGAAGGCAGAGCGAAGAGAAGAAGGCGCCTTGTCGCGGCGATTACGAAGCATGAGTGAGGAAGCCATAGCGAGTGGTGCACATGGAGCTGTCAAGGCTGTACAAGAGTCGGGCGGCTTCAGTGAGGAACTCAAAGCTCAATTGGAACAACGCATTGCCGGTGCAAGCCTACGATCATCAGAGGCAAACCTCCCGGCTGCTGCCTCTCGCCACGTACGCGACCTTGCCACGAGTGAGGCATGGACGGGCACGGAATCGATACACGATGCGAGTTTGCGCATGCTGAATGATTCACGCAAACCTTTGCGATTAGGCAGGCCGCCGAAGATGCCAGGGGTTCAGCCACCGCGAACCGTTGATACTGGACACAAGCGTAATAAAGAAGGGCATGGCCAGCGGCTCGCCGATGCTAGGGACAGAAGCACTGTATATGCGCATGTCAAAGAGGACGTCGATCTGGATGCCATGGAGCGAGAGACGCGCTTCCAGCTACTCAAGGACCGGTTCGATCCACACGCGCGGACCATTGTTCCAGGTACCATCTCTGGCATTGCCTCCCTAGCCAGCCAGAGAATCGAGGATGCAATCGCACGAGGCCAATTCAACAACATCAAACGTGGAAAGGGCATCAACGTGGAGCGAGACCACAATGCTTCGAGTCCTTTTATCGATACCACCGAGTACTTTCTGAACAAGATGATTCAGAAGCAGGAGATTGTGCCCCCGTGGATCGAGAAGCAACAGGAGCTCACGTCGGCCGCGAACAAGTTCCGCACTCGCCTACGGCACGACTGGAAGAGGCATGCTGCCAGAATGATATCGAGTATAGGCGGCTCGTTGGAGGAGCAGGTCAGGCGAGCCGAGGCGTATGCAAAAGCAGAGCTCATATCAAACCCACCCAGGAAGAAACAGGAGATACTCTCCTCCATAAGCGAGCAAGGAAATCTGACCCAGATTTCCATATCAAGCGAGATCCTTCC